CTTTTTTTTTTTTTCACTGAATGGGCTATTCACAAAGGCTAGCATTACACACCGGAAGCTCATCTTTTAAATTGCCTTTAAAGTTATTGGCACTAGAATGGATGACTCAGATGTGACACTGAATTTAGGTGTACTCGTTGGTCTTCTGAAAGACTGTAGAGCAACTTGTTTAACTCAGGTTGTGAGTGTATCCTTTAATTACCCAGACTTTATGTTCCTTAAATATGCTCACAATTTTGATCCATCACACTGCATTTATGCACTTTTCCATATGGATGTGTTTCATCTCTCCTTTTCTTTTAATAGCATATCATAGGCACCTGCTTAAACAGTTCATCTGTGCTAGAGTTACCCATGATTTACTATTTCTATCAACAGTCTGTAAAAGAACAGTGTTCTGAAGAAAATACCACAAAACTATTTAGGCTTATGCGGGACAGAGGAGAAGACTGGGGAGCGACTTACTTAAAAAGTATCCAGAAAAAGGAACAGCCTTGTCCCCAGACAGGTGCATATTTAAAATAGTTAGCAGTGTTAGAGGCCAAAGTTCTGAAGACTGTCACCATGACCGCAGCTGGAATCAAGGCGCTATAGGTGTCATTACATGCACTTGGCTTTTCTATGCATTAATTTTGTAATATCTAATTCCTGTGAATCTTGGCTGCTTACCCAGAATGGGAGTGATTCTCAAACGTAGGAGATAGAGGTGTCATCAAGTGCGCAAGTTTGAGGGTGGGAGAATAGCATGAATGGGAGATGCTGTGTTTTCTGCATTTATGTAGAGTATCTCTCATCGTGCTCAATATATAATTTGATGTTACGTGCCTCATTTGCCTTTTTTTTTTCCTGAGCAACCATTTTAAAGCAAGCATTTTGTAGCCTTCATGCACCTCTATGAGCAGAACTTACACTGTGGCCCTTGTGTCAGTTCTGGTCTTTGTAGAAAAAATCTTTTGACAGGAGTGATGCTGTGTCAGCAGGGGCTTGTGTGCTTCCATTGATACATATTTTGTATGCTGATAAGCCCCAGGTTTGTGTTAGATGAGCAGAACCACCACTAGATTTTGCACTTACAGCATTATCATATAACGCCTGGTTTCTGGCCATAGTCTTGAGCTCAGTTGGCCAGGATTTCCAACTGACCAGCAGTCCATTCCCTTCTCTTGGCAGCCCTTTTGATCTAGAATGGTCTTTCTTGGGCTGGAAGGCATGTATAAGCAGATGGCAAAGCTTATACAGAAAACTGAGTTGGTCCTGGGACACCTTATGCTTCTGACAGTCCCTTAGGCAAGAAGAGGAAGATACTAAGCTTGTCTCTGAAGACTGGATCAGCCAAAGCCACTGTTTACCAGTGCCAGCAAGGACAGTGCATTGAGCAAAGGGAAGGATGCTCCAGTTAGTGCAGCTTTGAATCTTCTCCTCCTCTCAGGAACTTTTTCTCTCCCCAGAAGAGCAGTTTCTGCTAAACAACATTTCCTTTGCATCCTACAGGTGCTCAAAAGTACAGTCAGTTCTTCCAGGAACAGGACAAAGTCTCTCCTAACTGCTCTGTAGATGCCAAAGTATAATTTTGTGAGGCAGAAGAGCAGATGAGAGGCTGAATTCCTGGATACTCTCTGTGTGGATATGGCAGCCAGAGAACAGTGTTCCTGGTGTGAAGCTTCTGAGCTGGAATACGTGACTACTGAGCACTATTTTTGATGACCTTTTCTAGGAAGCATTCCTTGGACCTTAGTAGA